TTCTGAGTTATGTTTTTAAAGGGGGTGGATTTTGCGTTTCAGCTGCTTTAGAAGGAAAGAAGGAGGGGAGCACCTTTAACTTTGTAAATTAAATCAATAAATCAAACAAAAAAATCCTATGGTTCAGGGTATTCTAGGTTATATTTGAACAAATTCTGGAGACAGAGTACTAAGCAAGAGAAAGGCCTGAAGGTGACATTATGAAGATAAAAGGGTATAGGGGGTTGTTTTGGTTTGGTTTTCTTTTTTTAGTTAGCAAGGAAAATAGGAGAAAACATGAGGGCCTTGAGGAGTGAAAAAACATGACAGCAGGCTGGGCTCCTGTAGCACAGTGGTTATGGCACCATTCACATGCACTGAGGCTGGTGGGTATGAACCCAGCCCTGGCCAGCTAAACAACAATGACAACTGCAACAAAAAAGTGGCCAGGCATTGTGGCAGGTTCCTGTAGTCCCAGCTGCTTGGGAGGCTGAGGTGCAATCTGAGTATTCATATGAAACAAAATGTGGTAGCCTATGTTTTGATTGATAAATAATTGCTTATTTTATTAGGTAATTTTCACTTGTTATATTCTTGGCCATTTCAGAATGTATTGTTAAAGGGATTACTGTAAGCTGATTTGATACTACAGTGATTAATATATAAAATCCATAATTCATCTAGCTGCATTAAAGATAGTTGACCAAGATAAAGTTATTGTCTATTTGCATTAATATTTTAATTTTTAACCAGTTACTACAAAAGCCCTGTAAGTGGAATCTCAGTAGTCTAAAGTTCTAGGATGCATGGGGAGAATTTCAGTGTGTGTGTATCTTTGAAGATAGTATCTTGACCTATTAATGCAGAGCTGTGACTATCTCAAGAAAATCTTTTGCATATTAAAGAAGACAAACATAGCTAACTTTTATAAAGCCTGTCAAAGTTAATATTTGATGCTCAGGTATTTTTTTTTGTCTCTCCCTCAAATGGTAAGCTGTGAAAAAATTAAGTTTTAGAACAGATCAACACAAAAATTGCACTTTACTTTTTCGTTTGGAACTTTACTCATATATCTGGAATACTACTCATAATATATTCTACCCCCCTCTTTGATTGAACTATAAAAGGAACACTAAGATGCCTCTCTATCTCTCCTATTTTTGCCTCACTACGAGGGGACATATTTCTTCTTGATGCTTCAGAGATCACACATTTGAGTATTGTGGAGCTAAAAGCTCTGGTTTATTTATAGGTGGCCAAAACATTTTACAGAAATATACTTCCTTAGCAATTGTGCCACCAAAATGGGGCAAGGAACACTATACTGTATACTATGATAATAAAATTGAATTATTTATCCTCAAAGAGGCACATTTACATTGACATACTTGAGAATAAAAACCATAAGAATGTATTCCGTTTAGTTCAAGTGAGTTTTAATCCTACTGTGGTTTTTATTCCCTCTAAATTTAGCAATTTCTTTACCATTTTTAGTTATTTTTTTCTTATAAACATGAAAGATGATAGAGAATTACAAAGAGAAAAAAAACATAGGAGCAATGGATTCCTAGGGTAATATAACATCATAAGTTCAGAATGCCACTCTATTAGAGAAACTTTGTCAACATTTTTATCCTTTGGGTACGGATATATCCAAGTGCTTAAAGTGCTCCATGCCTAAAACATGAACTTCTCTTGCAGCACAGTGTCTAACAGCAAGACAGAGGGGAACTAGATGCCCAGATGAAGTTGGTGGTATGGCTTTGCTGTCCCAAACTTTCACAAAGCTGTTTGGTAATAACAACAGCTAAAAAAGTTAAAGGTATTTAGATTTATGGACTCCATAGTAATTTCTATCAATTTCTTCTTCTTTTTTTTTTTTTTCTTTTAAGATAGGATCTTACCCTGTCATTCAGGATAGAACACAGTGGTGTGATAATAGCTCACTGTACCATTGAACTTCTGGGTTCAAGTGATCCTCCTGCCTCAGCCTCCCTGGTAGGTAGGACTACAGGCACAAGTAGCACCACACACAGATATTTTTGTAAATATTTTTGGTACAGATGAGGTCTCACTCTGTGACCTGGGTTGGTCTTGAATTCTGGCATCAAGGGATCCTCCTGCCTAAGCCTCCTAAAGTGCTAGTATTATAGACATGAGCCACCACACCCAGCCTCAAAGTCTAAAGTCACAAATGGATGTCTGTATGATCTTAACAACCTAATCATTTTAATGGCAGAGAGCAATATTATAGTAAATCAATCCATGTATATTTATTGCAAGATAAAATGGGGAATAACGCCGTTACCATTCTCAGGAAATTTTCAGCCTAAAGTGATATAACACCATAAAATGTATACAGAATATGGCCAAAGTAAAAATAAAGCAGATTGAAAAAGAAGTACTGTATGAATTATTACATTTAAATCTTGCTTCTAGCCTAAAGTATAAACCTAGGAAGATCTTTCACAGGTGATGAATTGAGTTAGTTTAGTTTATCTGTCCAGTGTGATACTGATCATTAATATTGAAACTAGGATTTGAAATAATTCTAAAGTTGATGTTCTTTCTTTTATTTGTTCTGACATAATATTCCTGGTGAGCCCTTCCTAAATACTGGGTTATTAACTAACTCATCAGTTTTCTGTCTTACAGTCCAAGGAGCTATGATGTGACATGACCTCAGAGGCTATACCTGGAAACTCCACTGACTTCATTCTCTTGGGCCTCATCACCCACCCACGATTCCCTGGGGTTATCTTTGCCATTGTCTTCTCCATCTTTGTGGTGGCCATAACAGCCAATGTGGTCATGATTCTGCTTATACATGTGGACTCCCGCCTCCACACGCCTATGTATTTCTTGCTCAGTCAGCTGTCCATCATGGACACTGTCTACATCTGTATCACTGTCCCCAAGATGCTGCAAGACCTTCTTTCCAAGGAAAAGACCATTTCATTTCTGGGCTGTGCACTTCAGATCTTCCTCTACCTGACCCTGATCGGAGCCGAGTTCTTCCTGCTGGGCCTCATGGCCTATGACCGGTATGTGGCTGTGCGCAGCCCTCTCCGGTACCCAGTGCTCATGAACCGCAGGACCTGCCTGTTCATGGTGGTGGGCTCCTGGGTTGGTGGCTCCTTGGATGGATTTATGCTGACTCCAGTCACGATGAGTTTCCCCTATTGTGGGTCCCGAGAGATCAATCACTTTTTCTGTGAGATCCCAGCTGTGTTGAAGCTGTCGTGTGTGGATACATCACTCTATGAGACCCTGATGTACGTGTGCTGCGTGCTGATGCTGCTCATCCCGGTGTCCGTCATCTGTGTCTCCTATGCACGCATCCTCCTCACTGTCCACTGGATGGACTCAGCCGAGGGCCGGCGCAAAGCCTTTGCTACGTGCTCCTCCCACATCACGGTGGTGAGCATTTTCTTTGGGGCAGCCTTCTACACCAACGTGTTGCCCCGCTCCTACCACACGCCGGAGAAAGATAAAGTTGTGTCTGCCTTCTACACCATCCTCACCCCTATGCTCAACCCACTCATCTACAGCTTGAGGAATAAAGATGTGGCTGCAGCTTTGAGGAAGGTGCTAAGAAGATGTGCCTTCTCTGGGAGAAGCAGAGTGGGGCGTGAGCATCGGAAGTGTTAGAGGAACTGTCCACAAACGTCCGTGCTGCTGTGACAGGTGGTGTGGTCTTTCCAGAAGACAGGCTCCATAGGCTCTTAGTTCTGAAGAATATTCAGTGTCATGTTGAAAGTCGAAAATTATCAATGGAAAAAAAAATCATCTTGTTGCAAGCATGATGTAAGTACTTACAGTGGATAGCAGCAAACATCGCTGCATTGGCCAACTTCTTTAGATGCCTGGACAAACATCTTCCAGACAGCAGTCTCAGTCAAGTAGGACCTTAAATCATCCCAAGAGAGGTCCAAGAATCTTTTTAAAGTGCCCTGAATAGATGCTTTTCTCTATTCCATGAGACCTTCATATCTGCATTGCTGACCAACTTTGGAATGGAAATTGCCAAGAGCATTTGCTATGTGGATGATTTAACTTCAAGCATTCAATACAAGTAAAATACTTTCACCTGTAATAGTGTAGCAGATTTATTTAGGAAATTTCTGTGAAGATTACATAATTGTATCTTGGGTTATGTATTCTTAGACACATTTTATCAGTCTTTATTTTCTTACCTTTCTGCATTGTAATCCTTACCATGTCTTTATTCACTTGGAGGCTAATATATGCCTCAAGATTAATAAACATTGATTGACTAATTGAAAATTAACTCTCTCATTAAAATTATAACATTGCAGCAAACCTGCAAAAATTCCATTTATGATTTAACAAAGTGGTTATAGATAAATGTGCAATGAATAAATCAAGATATTTCATTAGTTAACTTAGCTCCCAAATTTTTGCTGTTTAATTTTCTTATTTTCAGTCTGATTATTGGCATGCTGGTAGACAAACATTTCCTTTCTTAGTAATTGGGTTTAGCTGTGGTGCTTTGATAGGTGCAACTTTGATAGAGTACTAACTGAAGACCACATGGACCTTCCCGCATTATTTTACCTTTAAATTTTCCTATGTCTAATGACCTGAAATACGACAAATAAAAAGAAGTATTCATTCACCTGCTGCTTATTCTCTCCATCAATACAAGGTTTAGAAAATGTTGTGCTAATTTTTGAGTGGTTATACATTTGAAAAAAAATAATTATTCTAATGTTGATATGGAGATAGAAGAAAAAATGTTCACTCCATTGATGCTAACATAGGTAAATAATATTCCCTTAGCATACTAATCACTAGGTTAGTTTTGACCTTTATCTTGAAATCAAACAAACAAATAGAAAAAGAATACCCTGCAGGGATGAATTCTTCAAGTGTAGGAACTGACCAGGATTTATTTATATTCATTTATGAAATATCCTCACTGTTATTTCAATTGAGTTCCAACTCTTTAATTTCCTTGTATCTCTAATGCCTTCTCTCCTCTCCCTCCTGCCTTAGGTTGCACCCTCCTTGGTCTTCCTACATTCCATAAAATTGCTTCCATTCACACTTTGTATTTTTGCTTTACCCAGGACATTAATGTTCTCTCTCCCATCACCCAAGTTGCTATGAGTATTATCCAATAGTACTTTTAGTCTTATATTTCAAAGATTTACCCTTTGCACATTTAACAAGGGCATTTAATGATTTAATGTACACATTGATTGATATTTAGTCCTGGAAAATAAGGCAAGTTCCTAGAGATATCATAGGCCTTAGTGAC